TCTGCGTGTGTTCTGTTGTGCATAGGGTTTTCAGAGGCCTGCTATTTCAGAAGTGGGTGGCCAATCCTTCTTCCTAGTCTGTCTTAATCTGAATGTTCACTTAATACTCCATATGCATTAGTCCCTGTAAATAGCTGAGCATTTGATTGCTAACCATGCAAAAAGTTAGCAATTCAGACATACCCAGAGACACCTCAGAAGTAAGACTGCAATCTCAGAGGTACACTGTTCGAATCCACCAGATGCTCTGCTGGAGAAGGAGGAACAATCTCCTCCTTTACCAGTCAGATCTGATTTGACGGTATACACAAAAAATAATGAAATAAAATAAAAAAAAAAAAAGAAGTAAGACTTGGTGATCTGCTTCTGACAGCAGATTTGCTTACACAGTCTTGAAAACCCTCTGGAGCAGTTCTTCTTCGGACACATGGGATCATCATGATTTAGAATTGACTTTATAGCACCCAATTTACAACATTAACTTAGATGTTAATGTCTTTCCTGAAATGGAGTTCTATAAATTATTTAAGCACCTCCTTTGTAAATGCATTAAAGCCTTAAGTTTCACCTCTTCCTAGCGGGAATTTTATTACTCTAAAAAGGTTCATGTAATAGTTTCATTTTAGACCTAATTCAATTATTAGCTAGAAATAACAGTGCATATCAAACCAGAACTTAAATCCCTTGACTCTGGTAGTAGATGGTGTCATAAGGCTTTGGTTATATTTGACCAACAAAATAAACTTAATATATGTATTTTAAATAAAGTAGATGTGTACAGTAATTTGTTTGATTTGTTTTCTTGTTTTTTTTTATAGCTTCATTGCTTTTGGCATCTTAGTGTGTTTCTTAGTATTTATCATAATCTGTATTAAAAGCAACCGGAGAGACTTTGAAATACCACTTAGTAACACAGCTTGTTCCAGTGATATTTAAAAAAGAAACATATTCTAAATAAGAAAAAATAATATTTACTTCATTTTTTTTCTCATAGGCTCAAAATCTGACTCCCCCGGACTACAATTTAAGGTGGTCAGGCCTTTTGGTAACAGTGGGCGAAGTCCTTGAAAAGAGTTTACTAAATGTCAGCCGGACTGATTGGCACATAGCCTTTACAGGCATGTCTCGTCGGCAGATGATCTACAGTGCAGCCAAAGCAATAGCAGGCATGTATAAGCAGCGCCTACCACCTAGGACCGTGTGAGAGAAGCTGGGATATGATCCGGAGACTTTTCCTCTCTTTGCTTGATGTAAAAGAAGATTTTGTACTTTCTTTACATTGAATAGCTTTAGTGAATCCAGGTGTTTTTGTAATTTTCCTTTAGGCTGAAATTTTTCTTTTGATGGAAAGGCATGGCATCATTCTAGCACATGAAAAGAAACAGCTCCTTTTTAAGATTATATAATTTCATATGCCATAATTCTCAAAAAAAGAAAATATGTAAATATATTTACAGCACAATTTGATATATCAAATTTATAAGGTGGAAAGTGTTGTACTAAGACATTTAATGATTTATACTTGATTATTTTTGTTTTTAGAGAAGACATAGATAATGAAAAACATGTTTACTGACTATTCTATTAAAGCATTATTTCTTTTAACTTATCATCTGTCTTTTCCCCATCAGTCCATGAAGCATTTTGTGTGCATATGACCTCAGGTCTGATGCCAAGCAGTGTGCTCAACGGCTTTCCCTGACACACCTGCTCATTCGATGATGGTGCACATTTTAAGCATATTTTTAATAACACAGGCCCAAATATCTGAATTTATTGCTTTCTTTTTTGCCCTCATCTATACATAGGCAGAAAAACCACTTTATTTTAATTTTTGGCATCTTACAGGTTTCTAAAAAGATCACCAATACTGTTTTGTTCCTTGCTCCATAACTGAGTGGGAAATGACTCAAGTGTATTTTAAATCAGCAGTATTCATGCTATTTTGTATAGTGCTGTTCAGTACTTCCAAGTATCAACTGATAACAGCCATAGTTTCTATGCCATTCATATTCTCCAAACTTTAACAGAAATTTTTAATAAGAAATATTTTGTTGATGGGATTGTATGCCTCTTAGTTTAGTTAAGGCTACTTGTTAGTTTGCCTTAAGCACTACTTTTCTAAATTTGTGCCATTTTGCCTTTACTTTTTTCTGGAAATTTTCAAAGAGACAATTTTATATTCAATCTAGATTATTTAGTTCATTATGTTTGTATTTAGTGAGAGCCCCGTCCCCAGTAATATATTTTATCATTTTTAGATTTCTATAAATCAAAATTGAATAATTTTTCTTATACTATTGAATTCTGTATCTTCAAATTCAAATAAACTTTTCTCATTTATAAATGTAATTTAATTTTTTTTTATTCTGTGCTTCCCAAGATATGAAAGGATGAGCACAATTCCTGGTTAAGAAACTCTTGCCCTGCACTATCTTTACATGTAAGATTTGCTTTGTATTGAAAATATTATTGTAAGCAATTTTTTCTTTGTTTGTTTTACCAAAAAATGAGAGAGTAAGTATTGATGAGGTGTGTCATTTTCCACACACTGCTTTGTGACTGTTCAGACAGAGTCAGACCTCTTTTATCATTACAAAATGAGAGACAGAATGATGTAACCAGTTGCAGCAGTGTTTTTACCTAGTAGTAATAGGGGCAGAAGCCTTTTCCTGTGTTGTTTAACTGAAAATTTCTTCTATGAGTTCTTCTTTTGTGAATGAAAAAGAGAGCCTTTCTCTACCATTTGCTTTTTTTACCTTTTGTTTTTTTATTAAAATTATTTTTATATTAAAATCCCCCCCTGAAAGTAAATTAAAAGCTACTCTTTTCTAACAGTATTACATCGTGGCATTGGTCTGATGACAAGTCATCCTTCAGGAACTAAGGAAACATTTCTACTAATATCCCATCATCCTGCCCCCCTCATTATAGGGAAATTTTACAAATTATAGAGGAACTTGTATATTTTTCTTTAAACAAGACTTATACATCTTACTTGATATTTTTGAGCATTGTTTAAATAGACTCACAAACACTGATATCCAGATAGGTATCAATCCCCAAAGAGTAGTGGCAGGGTTACACCAAGGCTTGGTTGAAGCCAGATAATTTTCCTGCACCTGGTAACCTATGAGCCTTCTCCTCTTTGGATCTGTGTGAGTGATGAGGAGAATTAGAAAAGTACAGATGGAAGAGAGAAATACATGGTGTGGATCTGCCTCTCTGAGTCGTTTTTTGTCCTAGTTGTCTTTCGAAGGCATCAGACTATGACTGATTTAGCTTACCCAGTCTCTTGTTTATTTACTTATTTTTTAATCCTGTGTTTTCCCTATTGTATATGAGACTGAATTTAGATGAAGCAAAAAAAGTAACTCATAACTTTAGCATACTGTTGGCCACTGTATCCTGGCAGTCTTCTAATGGTTGAATTTAGTCATAAAATAAGGGGGTCATTGTGTCTGCAGCCTCAGTTGCCTTTCCCAATTACCTCGTCCTCCATCCTTGTTCTTTTCCTACTCTCGTTTTTAATTTCCAGACTTGAATTTATTTACTTTTTTTTTTTTGAGACGTTACCAAGTTATCCACATTGTTTTAATGAAATAATTCCAAAGAGAACAGGAAAACTGCAGAAAAGGTAACTGCGACTGCAGTTGTCAGAAGGTAGTCAAATTATTCCATTTAGGACACTCTGCTATCAAGTATTGAGAATCTTGAGCTGTACCACAGACCTGTGGTGACAGAAAAGCCTTAGTTCTGTCTTCTGAGTCTCTTGTCATTAATACTTCCCTATTCATTGTTCGTCTCTTCTTTGAGATTCATGAAGTAGAAATTTGAGATTGCCAAATATAGGCTAACGGTAGTGTAGTTAGCTAAGTAGGTGAGTACAAAAGAAAGTGTTGCATATGTTTATTCAGAATTATGCAAATTAATATATACTCAGGGTTCAACTAAATTAATATGTACTGAAGTTATTTTGTTCCTTCATAATAAACCAAAATCTAAACAGGTATTCTGTGATACCATGTTGGTAACATTTAATGTTCTAAAGGATGTTGAGTTACTCATTAAGAGATCTAGATTTTTTTTTGTCACTGTGTGTGGTGGTCCTTTTAAGATACTATGCAGAATGATGTATTGGATAACACCAATTTTGTAAGTATGTAAACACGTCGTAAATAAATAAGACTTTGATTTCCCAGAAGTCTACACAATGATTTTTTAAAATGCTAATTTCTTAATAATAATATATGGTATCCCATTTTTCTTTATGAACTGGTTATTGGTGGTCAAGAATTCTTTTGTTGTTGTTAGATGCGATTGAGTAGAGTATAACTCATAATCATCCTGTGAATAGCAGTTCCCTGTCCTATCCAGTATCATCCTCATCATTTCTGATATACTTGAGCCCATTGCTGCTATCTCCATGTCAGCTCATCTCATTGACAGTCTTCCTCTCTTTTGCTCACCTCACCTTTCCCAGCATTATGTCCTCCTTCAAGGAAGAGCCTCTCTTTAGCAGCATGCCCAAAGTGTGTGAGACAAAGCTTTGTCATCTTTGCCTCCAAGGAACATGCTGGCTGCAGTTTTCGCGGGACGTATCTGTTTATTCTCTTGGCAGTCCATAAGATAGTCTGTGCCCTTCTCCAACACTACAATTCAAAATCTTAATTCTTCTGTCATCTGTATTCATTATCCAGCTCTTGCATGCAGAGCAAGTGATGGGAAAAACCGTTACCTGAATCAGGCACACTTTAGTCTTCAAAATGACATCATTGCTCCTCAGTAATTTGGGGAGGTCCTGACATTGGACTTGCCAAATTTAATACATCTCCTGATCTTCTGACTTGTGGCACAAAGTGTGTTGATTGTGGATGAAGTTGTTCACAATTTCAGTCTTTTCTCCATCCTTGATGTTACTCATCAATAGTATTGAGGATTTTTGTCTTCTTAATGTTATTGAGATGTAGTCTGTATTGAAGGCTGTAGACTTTGATCTTATGCAGCAAGCATTTAAAGCCCACTTTCAGATCAAGCAAGGTTTTGTAATCTGCATAATACAGGTTGTTGATGAATCTTCCTCCTTTACTGATGCCCCGTTCTACTTCCAAGAATCCGGCTTGTCGAATGATTGTCAGCTGAGGTTCTAGCATTTCCTGAGACCTTAATTTTTGCCAGTACCTTCAGTGCAATTTGGACGTTTTCTTTCATTACCATTGGCTCTTGGCTCATACAGAACTTCTGAAATCTCTGAGAGTCAACTAGTTCTTTTGGTAGAGTGATTCTCTGTATTCCTTTCATCTTTTTTTGATGCTTTCTAGATCAGTCAAGGTTTTGTCCATAGCATCTTTCAGTATTGCAGTTAAAAGGCTTCAATTTGTTCCTCAGTTCTTCAGTTTGGGAAATAACAAATTGTTTTTCTGTTTTGGTTTTCTAACTCCATTTCTGTATAATACTTTGTCTTCTTGAGCTGTCTTTTGGAATCTTCTGTTCAACTCCCTTACGTCAGCATTCCCCCCCCCCTTTTTTTTTTCCTCATTCCAGTGCAAGCTTCAGTGTCTTTTCCAACACCCATTTTGGCTGTTTGTTTCTTCCCTGTCTTTATAATGATCTTGTGCTTTCTTTTGGGGTGGTGTCCTTGATGTCATTCCACAGCTCGTTGGGTCTTTGGTGGTGGTGGTTGTCATTAAATGCTGTTGAGTCAAGGACGACTCAGCGACCCTGGGAACAAACAGGGTCTATGGTTATTAGTGTTAAGTGCAACAAATCCGTACTTAAGATGTTTTTTCAATTTAGTTTGCATACACTTAAGTCATATGTTGATTCTTGTGGACTTGTTTTAATTTTCTTCAACTTCAATTTACATATGAGTAGTTGATAGTTTTTTCTACAGTCAGCCCTTGGCCTGGTTATGACTCTTGGTAATGAGCTTCTGCAGTGTCTCTTTCCACAGATGTAGTAAATCTGATTACTGTGGAGTCCATCAGGTGAAGCTCATGTGTATTATTGCCATTAATGTGTTTTTTAAAAAGTGTTTGCAAAGAATAAATCATTCATTGTACAAAAATCTCATCATACTATTACCAGTCTCATTTTTGTCACCATGACTATATTTTCCAACTATCCATCCCTCTTACTTATTTTTAACTTTTTCATTCCATTCACCAATTATTAATGCATCTGATTGTACACTTGACCAGTTTC